CTGGGCGGACGCGGCGGCGGGGCACCCATCGAAGGCGGCGGCGGCGCTAAAGGTGGCCTTGGCGGCGCCGTCGATGGTGGCGGCGGCGCTGCTGCGACCGGCGGCGGCGGCGCGGGCGGCGGCGGCGCGGACATGGCTCTGTGTCAAGCGCTCGACGACGCGCACAGCACAGCCACTGTTACAGATGGGTGGCGCGGCGCGCTAAGCACTGCGCGTCAACTTCTCGTCAAACATCTGTCAAACATCTGAGATCGAAGTCTTCAATTGCCACAAAAGAGCTGGCCGATGGTGTAGCCTCTAAGCGGATGCGCCTCGTCATCGCGGCGTCCCTCGCCGTCGCCGCCGCCGACGGCGGCTGCTTCGGGCTCGGGTCGCGCGTCGACGCGCGGTTCCGCGGCGGCGGCGTCTGGTACGCCGGCGTCGTCGACGCCGAGGCGTCGTGCCTCCACAACGTGACCTACGACGACGGCGACGTCGAGGTCTTCCTGTCCGCGGACCGGCTCCGCGCGCACGTCGCGCCGAGGTTCGCGCGGACGGACCGCGTCGAGGTCTGGGACGGCGGCGCGTTCCGGGAAGGCCGCGTCGCGCAAGTCTGGGGCACTACGGTCGACGTGGTCTTCGACGACGGCGCGCTCGAGCGGGGCGTCTTCGAGGACCTCGTGCGCGCCGCGGCGCCCGCGGTCGCGCGCGACGGCGAGGACTACACGCGGACGTACGAGGCGTACCTGGCGCGGCTCGAGGACCGCGGCTTCCGCGTCGCGCTGACGCCGCGGCTCAAGTCCCTGGAGACGAACGTCGGCACGCCCCTGCGGACGCGGACGACCTACGCCGACGCCTTCGCGCGGGCCTGGGTCGCGCTGCGGCGGCGGCGGGGCACGCTGGTCAACAACGGGTCTTTGGCCGAGGGCGTCTCGTACTCGCCGCTACATATAGTGGCGCGGCGCGTCTTGGACGACGACGCGCTGGTCTTGCTGCGGGACTACGTGCGCGCCATGATCGCCGACGGCGCGTTCCCCTTCGGCGACACGCAGACGCGGCTGCGGTACCGCGCGCACAACGAGACGGCGACGCGCCTCTTGCAATTCGAGCTGCTGCCGTTCGTCGAGGAGGTCTGGGGCCGGCGGCTCAAGCCGACCTACACCTACCTGTCGTCCTACCTGTCGGGCGCGCGGCTGCCCAAGCACACGGACGGCGTCGACTGCGCGGTCTCCGTGAGCTTCGTCGTCGACAAGCCCGAGGGGCTGCGGTGGCCGCTCTACGTCGCCAAGGAGGCGCACCACACGCCCTACCTCGGGCGGGCCCACGCGGACGACGACCTGCCGGCGAGCGCGGTCTACGGCCTCGACGCGGACCCGGGCGGCGCGCTCCTCTTCCGCGGCACGGACCACGTCCACTTCCGCCGGGAGCTCCGCGGCGAGTTCTTCTCCGCGATCTTGCTGCACTACTGCCCCTACGAGGGGTGCGGCGCGTAACCTCTATTTTGGGTGCCTGTGCGTCGCGGACGGAAGTGCGGACGGCGTCGCGGACGGCGTAGGCCTCGGCGTCGCGGACGGCGTCGCATCGCGGCGAGCAGGCCGCGCCGAGCGCTCGAGCCAGGTCTTGAAGCTGTGAGAGCTCGTGCTCTGCGTCGCCGGCGCGCACGACGCGCGCGCAGCGGAAGAGCAGCGCCGCGCAAACAAACAACAGCAGCAGCCAAAAAAACCATGGCCGCCCGCGCCGCGTTCCTCGGCGCGGCGCTCGCGACTTCCGGCGCCGCCTTCGCGCCGCCGAGCCGGCTCTCCGCGCCGCCGACGGCGCTCCGCGCCGCGGACGCGACCTGCGACGTCGCCGTCGTCGGCGCGGGCCCCGCCGGGTCCGCGCTGGCCTGGCTCCTCGGCGAGCGCCAGGGCCTGGACGTCGCGCTCGTCGACGCGGCGGCCGACGCGCCGTGGCCGAACAACTACGGCGTCTGGAAGGAGGAGTGGGCGGCGCTCGACGCGCTCTACCCCGAGCTCGGCCTCGCCGGCTGCGTCGACGAGGAGTGGGCGACGACGGAGTGCTTCTTCGGCGGCTCCTGGGACATGCCGCTGGACGAGAGGACGGTGCTCGACCGCGCGTACTGCCGCGTCGACCGCGAGAAGCTCCGGGGCACGCTGCGCGCCCGGAGCGCGGAGAAGAACGTGCGGACCGTGGCCAAAGCCGTCGCCGTCGGCGGCGGCCCGCGCTGGGCGTCGAACGTCGTCCGGGGCGTCGCGCACGACGCCGACGGGTCGACGCTGGAGTTGGTCGACGATAAGGGCACAACGTCCACCCTGCGCGCGACGGTCGTCGTCGACGCGACGGGCGCCGAGAGCGTGCTCACGAGCCGCCGCGGGCCCGACGTCGGCGACGCCGTGCCCGATCCGGGCTACCAGATCGCGTACGGCTTCGAGGCGCTCGTCGACGACCTCGGGCCCTACGCGGACGACGCGATGCTCCTCTTCGACTACCGCACGGACCACCTGACGGCGGCGGAGCAGCGCGACTCGCCGACGTTCATGTACGCCATGCCCCTGGGCGTGGAGGGCGGCCGGCGGAGGGTCTTCTTCGAGGAGACGTCGCTCGTCGCGCGGCCCGCGCTGTCCGTCGCCGAGTGCGAGCGGCGCGCGTTCCTGCGGTTGGACCACATCGGCGTGAAGATCCACGAGCGCTTCTATGATGACGTGGAGTACTGCTACATCCCCATGGGCGGCCCGCGGCCCGACGACAAGCAGCGCGTCGTCGCGTTCGGCGCGGCCGCGGCCCTGGTCCACCCGGCGACGGGCTACCAGCTCTGCCGCGCGCTGGCGGCGGCGGGGCCCGTCGCCGCGGCCCTGGGCGCGTCGTTGGCGGCGCGGCCCGGCGACGCGGACGCCGCGGCCGCGGCCGCGTACGGCGCGCTCTGGAATCGGCAAAACTCGCTCCAGCGCGAGTTCGCGCTCTTCGGCGGCGAGTTCCTCATGACGCTCGACGCCGAGGCGCTCCGGGGCTGGTTCGCGGGCTTCTTCGCCCTGCCCCAGCCCGTCTGGGCGGGCTTCCTCGCGGGCTGGCCGGGGCTGCCGGGCAACGAGCACCACGAGTCCCGCGCGGCGCGGCTCGCCTTCGGCGTGTCGCTCCTGCCCAAGCTCCCGCCGGCCATCGCGCTCAAGCTCGCGGCCTTCATCGCGACCTACTCCCTCAACCACGGGCCCGCGCTCCTCCGGAGCGTCGTCCCCTTCTTCGGCGACGGCGACTACTTCGGCGAGGCCACGGAGCCCGACCGCCCGCCACCGGGCGACGCCGCCGTCAAGGCCGAGATCCGCGCCAAGCTCCAGAACCCGGGGCCCCACTAAGGCGACGGAGTGTGTGCCACGCCTTGTGCCGGAGGACCTGTCGTCCGAGCATCCTGAGTCCGAGCTCAAGCTGGGCAGCCCAGCGCCTCACACACGCAGCGCCCGCGAGAAGGCAGCCCGCACGCGCGCGCGCGACGGCTCGACGCGCGCCGGTCCGCGACCGGTCCGCGATCCGATGCGGCCGGCGGGCGCGGCGCGACTGCTGCTGCTCGCGGCGCTCGCGGCGACGTCCGTCGCCGCCAACTGGGGCCCGAAAGGCGCCAAGGTGGGCAGGCGCACCTACTTTGGCTACGAGGCCGAGGTCCTGCAGCAGGCGGCCCTCAAGGCCGCCCGGGTCTGGCTCGGGCTGACCATGGTCGGCCTCGTCGTCGCCATCGCCTTCTTTTCCAAGGCGCCGCCGTTGCCGCCGAAGCCGAAGCAGGTCGCGATGGCCAAGCTCCGCAAGGGCAACAAGGCCTCCTAGCGGCGGGGCGTCGAGCAGTCCGCCGCGGAGGCCGGCGCGTCGCGGCGAGGCCTCGGCGCCGACGCCGCGCGCGCGCGCGCGCGGCCGCCCCCGGGACGCCGGCGGCCGCGGGGGAGGTCACACTTAGTGGAGGCGGCTGGGGTCTTGGCACGCGCCGGGCGGGGGAGCGGCGAAGCTCAGGAGATGGCGCAGGCCGAGGAGCGGCGCCGGGACGCGTCGCCCGCGCCCTCGCCGCCGGACGTCGCGTCCTTCTTCTCCTTCCACTTGAGGAACCAGACGATCTCCGTCCCGAAGGCCTTGGGCGAGACGAAGGTCCAGGCGTCCTCGTCGAAGTCGCCGGGCTCGAGCTTGACCTTCTTGCCCAGGTCCGGGAACTCGCCGATGTCGATCTCGTCGGGCACGTGCTGGCCGTTCGCGGGCGGCACGAAGGGGATCTTGTCCTTGTCGTCGAGGTCGCCGGGCTCGAGGTCCGCGAGCCAGGGCGCGGCGAAGAGGTCGCGCCAGCCCGCCGCGCCGAGGCGGTCCCCGCGGCTCTTCGCGAGGCACGCTTCGACGAAGGCCCGGGCCTCCTTCGGCGCGGCCGCGTCCCAGGCGATCTTGTCGTAGGGCATGTGGAGCACGGCGTCGTTGACCTGGGGCTTCTTCTTCTTCTTCTTGTCGCCCGAGTCCTCGGGCTCGGGCTTCTTGAACTCGTTGACGAGCCAGTCGTGCGCCGCCTCGGTGCGGTACGGCGACCGGCCGTTGAAGCACTCGTAGACGAGGCAGCCCAGCGCGAAGAAGTCGGCGGTCTTGTCGTAGACGTCGCCCGCGACGGCCTCGGGCGGGATGTAGCCCGACGTGCCCGAGCAGCCCTTCATGCCCTCCTTGTACGGCACGGCCTGCGCGCGCGCGCGGCCGCGTCGCCGCGACGAACCGCCGTCGGACGCGGGGGGGACGCGCCAGGCCCATGTCGCTGAGGCGCGTGCGGCCGTCGGAGTCCACGAGCACGTTCTCCGGCTTGAGGTCGCGGTAGACGAGATCGATCGCGTGGATGTCGCGGAGCGCGAGGATCGTCCGCGCGGCGTAGTACTTCGTGCGCTCGTCGGCGAACTTGCCCTCGGCCTTGAGCCAGTAGCGCAGGTCGCCGCCCATGCAGAGGTCCATGATGAGCACGAGCTCCTCCTTCGTCGCGAAGGCGTACTTGAGGTTCACCGTGAACGGCGAGTCGAGCGCCTTGAGCGCCGCGTGCTCGTTGGCGCAGAGCTGGAAGGCGTTGCCCTTCTTGACGTGCTTCTTGATGCAGGACTTCATGGCGTACATGCGGCCCGTCGTGTAGGTGCGGCACGCGTTGACCTTGCCGAAGCCGCCCCGGCCGAGCACGCGGAACGGGTTGAAGTCGTCGAGCTTGGGCTTGTTCTGCTGGATGCGCAGGAAGCGCAGGTACGTGCGGTAGCGGCCCGACTTCTTGAAGGCCTCGAGCGCGGCCTGCTCGAGGTAGGCGAAGACGACGCGCTCGACGTCCGCGCCGAACGACGGCTCGCGCGCCGCGAGGCCTTTGAGGTCCGAGAAGGGCCAGGGCGACGGCGCGCCGTCCTCGGGCGGCGGCGCGACGTGCTTGGCGTAGGTCGCGGCGTCGACGGCCGGCGCCGGGCACCGGAGAAGCGCGTCCGCGCCGAAGGGGAAGTTCGTCGCTTGCTTCTGCGGATCCGCGTCGACGAACTTCGCGCGGATGTCGGCCTCGCGCATCTTGGCCACCTTGGGCTGGTGGGCCTTGGTCGCGTAGGTCGCCATGTCCATGACGTACTTGGCCGGCGTCGCGAGCTCCTGCGGGGTTTCGCGGGGGTCGGGCGTCGGAGGGTTCGGGCGCGGGACGCGGCGGCCGCGCGTCCTGGCTCGCGCAGAAGAGCACGTAGCAGTAGAAGCCGCAGGGCGTGCCGCAGATCTCGTTGGCCGTGACGAGCCTGCGCGCGCGCGGGGTCCGGCCGGGCGCGGCGCCGGAATCGGCGCACCCTTGCTCCTGGAGCTTGGCCTCGAAGGCGTTGAGCTCGTCGTCGGAGATCTTGGGGAACTCGACGCGCGGGTCCGGCGCGTCCATCATCATGGCCTTTGTGTAGCGCCGCGACTCGAGGGCCGCGCCGAGATCCATGGCTGCAACCGACCGCCGACGAGGCTGGCGGCGGGCAGCTCTGATCAATGAATGAATCCTTGGCAAGGGGTCTGCGTCGCGCAACAAAGTTGACCCGGGTCATCCGCTGGTCCCGGGGCGACGCGAGGTTGGCGAATGCAAATACGGCCCGCGACGCCTTTGAAGATGTAAACGTGCGAACATAACGCGCGGAGCGTGAGGTTTTCAATTGCTTGTGAAAGGCGCCAGTTGGCGGGGCAGCCACGATGTCTGGCATAGCCGGCCTGCCCGGCGTGCCCGTGCAGGCGCTGCGCAACGCGCAGCGCCGCCTGCGGGAGGAGTCCGCGGAGGAAACGTCGTCGTCGACGGGGAGCGCCGCGGCGCTCATGATGGCGCGGTCGCGGTCCCTGAGCCTCGGCGCGCCGGCGCGGCGGCCGCGGCGGCGCGCGCCGCGGGCGACGGGCGTCGACGCGCGGGCGCTGCTGGCGTCGAGCGGCGCGCGCGTCTTCGGCGACGCGGCGGAGCAGGCGGCCATCGCCGCGTCGCTCGCGCCGGGCGACCCGGCGAGCGCCGCGGCGCCGCCGCCGGCGCTCGCGCCCGAGCCCGCGATGAGCGCCGCGGAGTGGGCGGCGGTCGAGCGGACCGCCGAGGCGCGCGACGACTTCGCCCAGGGCTGCCCCATCTGCCTCGAGCCCTTCGCCGCGGCGGACCACGGCCCGAACCCCGCGGTGCTGTTGAGCTGCAGCCACACGTTCCACCGGCGCTGCCTCGCGTCCGCGGAGCGGTGCATCGGCGTCGCCGAGCGCTGCTGCCCCATCTGCCGCAAGGCGTCCTACGAGGCGAAGATCACGGGCGTCGCCGCGGACGCCGCGCGCCGCCGCGCCGCGTCGACGCTGCAGCGCGGCTTCCGCACACGCCTCGCCGCGGGCCGCTACCGCGCGCGGCAGATCGCCGTCTACGGCGCGGGCCGCGGCGACGGGGCCCGGCGGCGGCGCTTCCAGGAGCGCGAGGTCCTGGCGCTCGGGGACCGCGTGACGCGCGACGTCGACGCGCGCGCCGACCCGCGTGGAAACCGACCACCGGTCCCGACCAAACTTTGGAAATTCTCTATCTCGGTCAAATCGAGGTCGATTCGTCTGATTTTTGGACGAATCGATTGCTCTCGTCGAAATCTCGAAGCCCGGCCGAAGACTCTGGTCCAAACCGTTCGGTTGAAGTCAGGTTGAAGATTTGGTTTTCCGCGCAGGCGCCGACTCGCTCGACGCGTTGTTCGCGGAGTGCGACGTCGCGCTCACGACGTCCGCGGCCGTCTTCGGCGCCGACCGGGCGCCGCCGCCGCCGAAGCCGCCGGCGCCCGCGCTCCCGCCGCCGCCGACGCGGCGCGCGTGGGCCGCCGCGCGGCGGGCCGCGGACGCGCGGGCCGAGGCGGCGTGCGCGATCTGCATGGGCCCCCTGGCGGAGCGCGAGCGCGTGCTCCTGTCCTGCTCCCACGTCTTCCACGCGCGCTGCGTCGCCGCCCTCGAGCGCTTCAACCTCGAGGCCGCGCACCTGTGCCCCTGCTGCCGCGCGCCCTACGCGTCCCGCGACTACGACGGCGCGTCGTCGGACGACGACGACGACGACGACGACGCGCTCCCGGAGGTCGCGGGCCTCGACCGCGCGCTCCTCGGCGAGCTCGACGCCGCCGACGCGCGGCGGGCGGCGCTCTGGGACGCGCTAAGGTAATGAATTGTGGAGGCGCATGGCCGGGGATGGGTCCTTCAACTCAGACGCGCATCCTGACCGAGTCGAGAGTGCCTGACCGCTTCAAGCGACTTCGCCGACCCGCGCGTTTCCCGAGGGCGTTTCCCACGACCCGAGATGCAATCGCTCCAGATGGCTTCGCTCGGCGCCCCGGCGCCCCCCGAGGCCGCGGCGGCGCCCGACGGCAACGATTTCTTCACGTCCATCACGCAGTTCGCGACTCGCGTCGGCCAGGACGGCCAGTACGCCGTCACGCGCGCCGCGGCGTCCGACGGTTCCGCGCGCGACGCCCCGGGACGCCCCGCCGCGGCCGGCGGGGACCGGGGCCGGGCGCCCGAACGACGCGAGAAACGAGAGAACCCCTCCCGCGCGCGACGCGTTTCCGCGACCCGGCCGCCGGGTCGCGGAAGACGCTCCGCCTTCTGCAGAACCGGGGAAGGGGGCGTCGGCATGATGCCCAAGAGAGAGAGAGAGAGCGCACCCGTCCCGCCCCGCGGCCCGACCCCCCGCGCCCGCAGGTTCCGCGCGGAGACGTCGTGGCCCGTCAAGTCGCTCGTCCACGAGCAGTTCAGCGACGGCTTCCCCGCGCTCGCGCGGATCCTCGCGAGCCCCGGCGGCCAGCCCGACGCCGAGGGCTTCTTCCACTACTGGTTCGGCGTCTGCGACTTCGACACGCAGCAGCAGTGCGAGCAGGCCGCGGCGACGCTCCGATCCCTCTGCGCGGAGATGGCCAAGGCGCCCGAGGCCATGGCGCGGCTCCGGCCGACGCTCGAGGACCACATGCGCTACTGGCAGCGGAGCCCCGCGGCGGCGGCCGTCGCCCAGCTCGGCAACCCGCCGCCGCCGTCGCAGCCGAACCAGTACTACGCGCGGTCGCCCGACTCGATCAAGAAGGGCCGGTGGACCGACGACGAGCACCAGCAGTTCATGGACCTCATGGCGGTCCACGGCAAGTCGTGGTCGAAGATCGCCGCGCACATGGTGAACCGGTCCGAGCCCCAGGTGCGGTCCCACGCCCAGAAGCACTTCGCCAAGGAGCGCAAGGAGCAGGAGGAGGCCGCCGCCGCGCTCGCGGGCGAGCAACCGGCCGACGACGGCTCCGCGCCGCCGAAGAAGGCGCGGCTCAAGAACGCCGCGGGCGCCGTCGCGCCCACCGACGGCGGCGGCGCGATCCTCGGCCTCGCCCAGCTCGGCAGCGCCCAGGCCTTCCAGGCGCCCGCGCCGCAGGCGCCCGCGCCGCCGGCCTTCGCCGCGTCGTCCGAGGCGGACGCGGACCGCGCGGTCGCGTCGCTCCTCGCCGCGCGCGAGGAGGCGCCCCCCAAGCCCGCGGTCTTCTCCTACCAGGACCCGGCGCCCCAGCAGCCCCTCCAGCCCGCGTCCTTCTCCTACCAAGACCCGGCGCCCCGCGCCGAGCCGCCGGCGGACGGCGGCTACGGCGTCTAGGCGCCCGCCCCGCCCCCCGCCCCCAAGCCCACGACAAGCGTAACCCGACACCCGCCATGGCGCACGCCTTGGTTCACTCGCGGTGGAGCTCGGCGCTCGGCGGCGCGCCGGCGGCGACGACGTTGCCCGCCTTGTCGAGCTTGATCGTGACGCCCATCTTCGCCTTGTACTGCGCCCAGGGCATGGACTGGACCCAGGCCGTGCCCGGCCCCGTCACCGTCGTGTTGCAGCAGCCCTCGCCGTTGCAGCAGCACGCCATGCAGGACCCCGCGGGGCGGACGCCCAGAGCGGCGCCGTGCCACGCGACGAGCGAGTTCGAGTCGATGACGAGCGTCTCCCCGGGCTCTAACATCTTGCGCTCCACCGTGCCCGTGGCGTTGATGAACGCCGTGCCGCCCTGGCCGTCGGCGGAGATGGTCTGGCGCACGCACCCGAAGCCCGCGCAGCAACACGTCGGCGTGCAGCAGTCGAGCTCGAAGGACGGCTGCGCCGCGCCGACGCTGGCCATGTAGGCCCCGGACCGCGCCGAGATCTTGTCGTACTGGGCCATGTCCAGCGCGACGACGTCCGCGGGCACGGGCGGCGTCATGCCCACGTACGTCGGCGCGGCGCCCTTGTTCTCGTAGATCATCGCCGCGCAGGCCTCGCCGCCGACGCACCGCGCGAGGCAGCCGTCGCAGTTCACGGAGGCCTCGACGTCGGCGCCCATGAACATCATGGACCCGGGCTCCATCTGCGTCGTCTCGCCCGGGCCGAGGCCCACGGAGAGGATGTGCATGTTCTCGCCGACGAGGTCCCACTTGCCGTTGCCCCAGCCCGGGAGGGGCTCCATGGCGACCCAGGTGAACCCGTTGCCGCCCTGGGCGGCGAGCTTCGCCATGGGGTTCGATGTCGTGTCGATCTGGAAGGAGCCGCTCATGCGCCGCCGGACGGCGGAGTGGGTGGTCCGGACGGGCTGCCCGACTCGTGCGGATTGCGAAACGCTGCCCATCGAGTGGCCCTGCGCGCCCGATGGTGCAGGTCCAGGTCCCCGAGGGCGTCGCGCCCGGCGGCATGTGCGCCTTCGTCATGCCGTACGCAGGCACCGCGTCCATCGACGACGCGCGCTGGCACGACCCCCATCGCATGTAGGTCCGGCACGACGGTGCAGATCGCCGTGCCCGCGGGCGCGGGCCCCGGCACGGTGCTCGAGGTCGCGGACCCCGGCGCCGTGGTGCCCGAGGCGGCCGTCGTCGGCATCTCGGCGACGGGCACCATGAGCCAGGTCTCGGGCATGCACGCGCTCGGGCCCCAGCACATGCCCCCGGGCTTCGACATGCTCGGGTCGACGTACGGCGTCCTGGCCAAGCCGCTGGCGCCCGGCGAGTCCTTCCAGTCGGAGCCCGGCGCCATGACCTTCATGTCCAACGACGTGAAGATGAGCGCCAAGTTCGGCGGCTTCTTCGGCACCGTGTCGACGGCCGTCTCGGGCGAGGCGCTGGCCAAGGTCACGTACACGAACGAGGGTTCGGACGTGGGCTACGTGGGCATGACGTCGAACCAGCCCTTCTCCATGGTCATCCCCGTGCAGATGGGCGCCGTCAACGGGGGCGTGCTGAACGTGAAGCGGGGCGCCTACATGGCCGGCACCCCCGACGTGACCGCGAAGGCGAAGCTCCTGCCCGCGCGCGACTGCGCGGCCTGCTGCTGCGGCGGCATGCCGCCCATCATCCAGGAGATCTCGGGCGCGCCGACGGGCGCCGCCTTCCTCGCGGCGGCGGGGACCATCGTCGCCAAGAGCCTCCAGCCGGGCGAGGCCATCGTCGTCGACTCGGACGTCATCGTCGGCTTCGAGAAGGACGTCCAGTTCGAGGTGAAGCAGGTCGGCAGCTGCATGACCTGCTGCCTCGGCGGCGAGGGCTGCTACAACACGGTTCTCACCGGGCCGGGCACAGTGTACCTCCAGTCCATCAGCATCGACAAGCTCATGGCCCAGCTTGTCACGGTCCAACAGGAATCCGACAGCGGCGACGGCGGCGGCGGCGGCCCCGTCGACGCGCAGCGCATCGACCGCTAGGAAGCGCCCGTCCCCCGAGAGTAAGGAAGTCAGTCAGTATCCCCGAGCGGTCGAAGACGGGGTACGGCGCCCGCGGCGGCGGCGGCTTCGCGGGCTCCGCGGGCGCCTCGTCCGCGAGCAGCGCGCGCGCCAGGTCGTCGCCGTCGTCCTTGGGCGTCGCGGGCGCGAGCGCGCGGAGGAGGACCCAGGCGCCGAACAGGGACGCGGCGAAGAAGCCGAGGATCGCGTAGCCGAGGTACTCGAAGTGGCCGTTGACGGCGCCGACGGCCGACCAGAAGGACCCGCCGAGCTCCAGCTCCGCCTGCACGCAGCCGAGCACCTCCACGGCCGCGACGGACAGCGCGACGGTCGCCGACACGACCGTAAGATAAAAATTGAGGAAGAGCCGCTTCGCGGGATCCTTCAACGCGATCTCGTAGGCCCAGGCCATCAGGACGCCGTCGAGCGTGTCCACGAGCGCCATGCCCGCCGCGAAGAGCAGCGGCAGCAGCAACACGACCTCCGGCCTACCAAGCGCGACGGGGTCGGATTCGTTCACATCTTCGGGCGAAACTCGCGCGGAAAAACACTCCCGTCGCTCGACGCTGTCTCCGGCGGGAGCCCGTCCTTCGCGCTCAACGCCGTGAGCGCGAGGAGCGCGACCTCGGACGCCGTGTCGAAGCCCAGCCCGAAGAGGAAGCCGACGTAGTACATCTTCCAGGCGCGGTCGACGACGTCGAAGGCGCGCGGGCAGCACCGCGCGAGGAAGCCGGGGCCGGCGACGATCCGCGCGTCCGCGTCGACGGCGACGAGGTGCGTGTGCGTGCCCGCTCCGCCGTCGTGGTCGCCGTGGACCTCCTCGACGAGACCGCCGCTCCGGAGCGCGCGCCACTCCCGGAAGAGCCCGCGCGCGATGGCGACGTTGACGGCGCCCACGAGGAGCAGGACGCCCGCGGACACGGCGGCGCCGACGACCGCGCCGACGCGCTCGAGGCCGCCCCGATGCTTCAGCTCCGCGGATCCCGCGGCGACGCCGACGCAGAGCAGGAGCACGACGGTGCTGTGGCCGAGCGAGAAGTAGAGGCCGACGCCCAGCGACGGCCGCCGGTCCGCGATGAGCTTGCGGCTCACGCAGTCGATGGCCGCGAGGTGGTCCGCGTCGACGGCGTGGCGCAGGCCGAAGGAGAACGCGAGGACGCCCGGCGACGCGAACGCGGGATAGCGCGACCCGACGGCCGCGAGCGCGCCGAGGAGCGTCACGTTCGCAGCCGCGAGCGACGCGAGCATGAGCGCGGCGCGCCAGCGCGACGGCCGAGGTGGGACGTCCGGCGCCGGGCGCGACACGGAGTCCGGCGCCTGGCGCGGCAATTGCACCGATGGCAGCGGCGCGTCCGGCGCCGCGCGCGGCAATTGCACCGATTGCAGCGGCGCGTCGTCGTCGTCGACGCCGCTGCGATCGAAGAGCGGGTAGGCCGTCGCCATCGAGAGAAACAGACTCCGATCAGCGCGCACAGACTCGCATCATGCAATAATGCCAGGCGTTTTGCCACAGGACCATGCTCGCTCCACTGAAGCCGCCGCGGGCGCCGGCCCGGGGCCACTTGCCGGGCCTGCGGCCGGCGCTCGCGCCCTCGGGACCGCTCTCCACCCGTACGGCTGTATCGCGGCGCCTTAGGCGACGACGCGCGGGGCGGGGGGACGTGTCTCGCGCGGTCTTCGTACCTTCAGACGAGCTTGCGGTCCATGGAGGACGCCTCGATCGGCGCCGCGGCCGAGGCCATGACCAGCCCCCGCCGCCGGACGTCGTCGAGGGACACGGGCTGGGCGCTCGCCATGAGGACCGTCGCGGGAATGCCCTCGGCCGCCGGCGGCGCGCCCAGCACCTCCCCCAGCACCCCGCCGGCCATGGCCGCCAGCGGGGATTCATTGGCGCCCATCACGCTCGACGCCTTCGTGCCCAGGAGGGCTTGGTTGATGGCGAAGGTCTTGAACTTGGCGTGGGAGTAGGACTGCGTGAAGATCGTGCCCGGGCCTTCGAGCGTCGTGTTGAACATGCCCTCGCCGGAGCAGCAGCAGGTCAGGCATCCGCCCGTCCGCTTGATGCTGAACTTCACCGTCTCCTCCCAGGCCACGAGCGAGTTCGAGTCGACGACGAAGGTCTCGCCCTCGGCGAGGGTCTTCGTCGTGAGGACGCCCATGGCGCCGAGGAAGGCCATGCCGTTGCCCGAGATCTTCTGGCGGACGAGGCCCTGGCCGCCGCAGCAGCACGTGGCCGGGTTGCAGTCGCAGTCGTAGCCCACGGCGACGTCGCCGATGGACGCGAAGTAGGCCCCGTCCTTGCCGAGGAACGACCGGCCGCCGAGCTCCAGCGGGATGACCTTCGCGGGGTTCACGGGCGTGAGCCCGAGGTAGCCACCGGTGTCCGGCGTCTCGAAGGTGCCCATGATGCAGGGGCTGCCCGAGCAGCAGCGGCCCATGCAGTCGCTGCTGTCGCAGCCCGCCTGGACGTCGCTATGCATGTATACCATAGCCCCGGGTTCAGCGACGACCTTGTCGCCGGGCTCCATCTGGATGCGCAGCAGCTGCATGTCGTGGCCCACGACCTCGTACTTGGGGCCGAGGTCCTCCGTGCCGACGACGGTGAGGCCCATCTGCTGTATGCTCGCGGGCATCACCATGCCCGTGGCCATCGTCCCGATGTCGGCGCGCGCGGAGCGGCGGCCCCCGGCGTCGAGCGGTCGGGTGGCTGTGGGCAGCCCCACGCTTCCAGAATATTCAACCAAATAGAAGATGACGTTCAATATTACCTCGTGGGTCGCCTGTTTCGCGAACTACCTTACGGCCCGGAACGTGAGGTTGAGCCGGCCCGGGCGCATGTTGAGCCCCGCCGGCGCCGTCTTCGGCTTGTCGACGCGCTCGACGCCGTGGAAGATGCCGCGCGCCGCGCCGCCGAAGCAGAGCACGTCGCCGGACCGCAGCGTGACGCGCGCGCGCGGGCCGTCGCGCGTCGCCGCCGTCGCGAAGGTCGCCGACGCGCCGAGCGAGATGGACACGACGGGCGAGCCGCGCTCGAGCGCGCTCGCCTCCTCCGAGTCGTCGCGATGGAGCCCCATGCGGTCGCCGCCGTGGTCGTAGAAATTGACCAAACACACGTCCGGCGCGTCGAAGGCCGGCAGGGACGCGTCCGCGGCGGCGCAGGCGGCGTGCGCGTCGCGCGCGGCGGCCGCGAGCGCCGCGGGGATCGGCGCCGCGCCCGCGCCCGCGTAGAGGGAGTGGACATGATCCCACTTCTCGCCGAGGCAGGCCATCTTGCACTTGCCGCGCGCCCCGTCGGCGTAGACCGGCGCCTCGAGCTTGAGGTCGAGCGCCGCCAGCGCGTCGACGAGCTCGCGCTGGCGCCGCGGGCTCAGGAAGCCGCGCACGAGGACGCAGCCCGGCGCGAAGACCGCGGCCTCCGGCGCCGCGGCGTCGGCGAGGTCCGCCGCGGCGGACCCGTCGTCCGCCGGCCGCAGCGTCACGGCGCCCCTGGCCTTCTTCCCGAACTTCTGCTTCTCCGGCGCCGCGTCGCCGGCCGCCGGCGTGAACCAGACCAACGAAAACCGCTCGCCGGCGAAGGGCCGCGTCCAGTGGCGCTCGCGCCAGCCGTCGAACTCGGCGGGCGCGTAGCGGACGTCCCGCGCGTGTCGCTCCACGACGAGCTCGCCGCCGCCGTAGTCGCCCAGCGCCGCGAGCAGGGACCGCTCCTGGCCGTAGCCCGCCGAGCCCGCGTCCAGATGCGGGCGGAACCGCGCGCCGAAGTTCACGGCGCACATCGTCGACGGTGTTCGACGGGGAAACTTCTCCGCGATGATGCTCTTCTCGAGCGCGAAGACGGCCGTCGCCAACGCCTCGAGGGCGTTCTGCCGCGGCTGGTGCGCGTTCGGAGCGACGCCGACGGAGAACGTGCCGCCGCCGCGGCCCTCCTCGATCAAGAGCTTGCTCCGCGCCGCCGAGGACGCGGGCCAGCCGCTCTTCACGACGTCCCGCAGCGCCGCGAGGGCGTCGACGTAGGCCTCGGGCGGCGGCGACGTCGCGACGCGCAGCGCCGGCGCGGGCGCGGCCGAAGTCCGCCGGTCCGCCCAGTAGGCGCGCGCTCGCTCGAAGGACGCGGCGATCGCCGGCAGGCGCTTTGCCGCGCCGGCGAGGCACGCGTCGCGGAAGGCCGCCGCGGGGCCGCCGTCGCCGTGGCGGATCGCGTCGACGGCGTCGACGTGGCCCTTCTTCTCGTAGCGCGCGAAGCGGAGGCACGCGAGGCACTCCGCCGCGGGGTCGACGCTCGGCCCCAGGACCTCGACGTCGTCGCAGGCCCAGGGCCGCACGAGCGCCGCCTCGTCGCCCGCCGCGACGTCGTCGACCCAGCCCAGGGCCACGGCGACGGCGAGGGCCGCCGCGCGGCGCGCCATGCCGCGCAGGAACCGGTCGCCCTGAAAGGCGAAGACGAGGAACGGGCCCCGCGACGCCACGTTGACCTTGCGCAGGCGGCACAAGCTCAGGCCCTCGTCGGGGCAGCACGCGCGCTCGTAGGCCGCGTCGTCGTCGGCGAAGGCGTGCCAGGACCGGCGCGCCGCGGACCCGTCGGCGCGCTTCGCGACGAGCAGACCCGTCGCGACGTCGCGGAGCCTTTTCAGCGCCGCCTTTCCCGCGTCCGAGTCCGCGTCGAAGGCGCCGAACAGGGCCGCGGGCACGAGCACCTCGGCGCGCACGGACGAGAAGTCCTGGGCCTGGAAGTCGTCGCGGCTCTCGAGCGGCGTCCGCCCGAGCACCTCGACGACGCACGCGGCGCCCGGGAACGCGGCCGCGACGCGCGCGTTCGCCGCGGCGCACCAGGCGCCCGGGTCCATGGACGACCCGCCGAGCACGCAGGCGCAGACGTCGCCCCAGGCCGCCGCGCCCGCGGCGACGGCCAGCGGCGCCTTGGCCCGCGGCGGCGCGCCGCTCCGCGCGACGACGCGGCAGCCCTCGCCGACGGCGGCGCGCAGCTGCGCGTCGATGGCCTGGGGCGACGTTTCGCCGCGGTAGCCGACCTGGACGATGGCGTTGGCGCTCTTGATCTGGGCAGTGAGGCCGGCGACGCAGCCATCCCGCAGGTGCTTGAAGAGCTTGGTCTTCGATGGGAACGACGCGCTGCAGACGCTGCAGGTCAAAGCATTCGGTGGCGGTGGTTTCGATGAATCTTGTTGCGGCTTCGGCGCGGGCTCGGGCGCCGCGGGCACTGCATCGCAGGCCTCCGGCACTGCGTCGCAGGCCACCGGCGGCGGCGGGCACATCTCCTGCCACAGCTGCTCTTTGGCGATTTGCACACGGGGGTGCTGTGCAACGAGGCCTCCGCCACCGCGCGCGCCGCGTCGACGACGCCCACGCCGTCGCCCCAGCACCGTTCGACGCTGCATAGATTGGCAAAGGACTGCCGGAAGCCATTGTCGCGCCGCAAAAAGTAGCCATCATGTCCGCGCGCCCCATGCCCATGGGCCCCGGCGGCCAGGCGCTCGGCTTCGACTACCTCGCGCGCAAGGCCCACAACCCGGGCCGCCAGAAGAAGCAGCGCGCCTTCTACAAGGACGCGCGGGTGATCCGCGACTTCAAGAAGCTGCAGCGGTCCGACGCGGACGTCGCCGGTTCGTCGCGCGACTTCACGAAGCCGTCCAAACGGGCGCGGGCCGAGGCCGAGGCGGTGCCGGCGGCGGTCGGCCCCGCGGAGAAGCCGCGGAAGAAGCGGAAGAAGCTCGACCCCTTCCGCAAGGTCCGCGACGCGCGCGCGGCCGCGGCCGAGGAGCGGGAGAGGGACGTCGCGGCGAGCGAGGCCCAAAAAGCGGCGGCCGCCAAGGCGCGCAAGGAGAAGACGAAGCGCGTCCAGAAGAGGGGCGGCAAGCGGCTCAAGTCCGACATCACGGACATCCTCGCGAAGCTCGACAAGGGCCGGAGTAAGAGCTAGCTGGATTTCGGCGCGATGTCTCGATCGATTTAGATGACGTAGTCCGCCTTCGTCGGCGGCGGCTCGTCGCCGGCGATGGCGACGACGTAGTAGTCCCGGGGCGCCTCGTGGGCGGACTGCGCGGAGATGTCCTTCTCGTCGTGGATGACCGTGGGCCGCCGCGCCGGGGCCTTTGGGGCGACCTTGTCCGGCGTCGGCGGCGCGCCGTAGGGCGGCTCCTCCTTGCTCTCGACGGGGGCCTCCGTCTTGCGGAATTGCAAATCGCGGTGCTTCGCCGCCGCCGCCTCGAGGAGGCCGACGCGAACCGCGAGCAGGACCACGAGAACGGCGAGCGCGAGCACCGCGACGCCCAGGATCACGTTGAGCGCGCCCGGCTCGTCGCCGTCGTCGTCGTCGCCGCCGCCGCCGCAGCGCGCCGGGGCCGCGGCGGCCGGCGCCGGCACGTCGCGCCAGTCGCCGCGGAGGCCGTCGATGTCGCTCCGGAGCGCCGCGACCTCGCCCCGGAGCACCTCGTCGTGGGCCGCGGGCTCCTCCTCGGATTCGCGCCAGTCGCGCTCGAAGCCGTCGACGTCCTGCCGCAGCGCGGAGACCTCGTCGCGGAGCTCCTGGTCCACGGCGGGGGCGCGGCGGGCGCGGCGGCGGGCGCGTCCTCGGCGGCCGCGGCCCAGTCGCCCCGGAATGCCGCGAGCTCGCCTCGGAGCTCCGCGACGGTCGTCTCGAGCTCGAGCACGCGGTCGTCGTCGTCGCCGATCGCGACGGCGGCCTCGCAGGGCGCCGCGGCGTCGGCGGCGGCGGCGACGGCGGCGCACGACGGCGCGCCTTCGACGGTGAAGCAGCCGCGCGTCGCGTGGTAGCCGAGCTGCGGCGCGTTGCCGAGCGCGAAGGTGAAGTGCGGGCCCGGCGCGAGGATGCGTAGCGACAGCGCGCCGTCCTCGAAGGCGACGTCGGCCTCGAAGGCGGCGTCGACCTCGACGAGCGACGCGTAGAAAGCGCCCGTCGCGTCCGCGGAGAAGCTCTTGAGGTCCGGGGACAGCGACCCGGCGTGCGCCGCGTAGGCGCCGTCGTCCGCGTGGAGGAAGACGACGTCGCGGTCGCCGCCGCCGCGCGGCGTCATGAGGCACTCGCCGTCGTCCAAGAAACCGAGCGCCGCGTAGGGCGCCGCGTCCGCGCCGCGCCACGTGACCTCGAGCCGCAGGCCGCCCGCGTCTTCGCAGGCCTTGGCGAAGACGCCGTCGCCGACCTCCTCGGCCCACGCGAGGCCCGTCGTCGCGGCGTCGTCGTCGTCCTCCGGCGGCGTCCACACGGGCGAGAAGGTCTTGACGAGCGTGAGCCAGGCGTCGTCGTCGCGCTCGAGGTTCGACGGCACGTGCTCGACGTCGCCCGTCGGCGGGCCGTCCGCGCCCGACGACGCGCGCTGCGGGCAGGACCCGCCCGCGGCCTCGAAGGCGACGTCGAGGTAGAACGCGTCCTCGTCCGCGTCCGTCAGGAGCCGGTGGCCCGTGTACTCGTTGAGCTGGTCGTCGCCGAAGCCTTCTCCCGGGATGTTGAGCACCAGAGGCCAGTGGGGCCCGTCGCCGGCGTTCGCCTGGACGGACATGGTAAAGTACTGGTCCGCGAAGTCCATTTTCCGCCACTGCTTCGCGAGGCGCGGCGCGCCCTCGTGGAGGATGTGCTGGTCGCCCAGGTACTGCACGTCCGTCGCGTCGCCGCGGTCGTCCATGAACCAGTCCGGCCGCACGTTGCCAATTACACTCAAGTCGAGCCACGAGCACGCGGCGATCGTCGAGTCGACGCCGTCGGCCCACTCGATGAAGTACATCTTCGTGCCCCGGTGGAGCACGGTCGTCGCGTGGTCGCTCGCGCTCTTGTCGCAGGCCGTGCCCTCGCCCCGGTGCTCCTCGTCGCAGGGCACCTGGCCGATCGCGCGGAGCACGCCGCGCTGCTCGTGGATGTCGTTGCGCTTCATGTTCCCGTCGAGGAAGTACCACACCGTCGACGACGACTCGTACTCGACGGCGTCGCTCCCGAAGGCCATGGACCGCGTCCGCGTCTCCGCGGCCCAGCGCGGCGGCCACATGTAGGGGCTGCCCTCGGCGGGCGTGCCCTCGCAGTCCGCGCCGTAGCCCGCGCTGCTGCCGAGCTGGTGCGCCGCGCCCATGGGACCGGGCGCGATGACGCAGCGCGGGCCCGCGGTGATCGTCGTCGCGGCAGAGGCGCAGGCGCCGTCGGCGACGAAGTCGCCGCTCATCCACGTCGCGCACGAGGTAGCCGCGCCGTCGCAGCCGTCGTCGCCGAGCGCCGTCGGCGACGCCTCCGTATGCTCTGCCGTCATGCACCAGCCGGCCATCGGGTCCGGAAGAGCGCAGCCGGCGCCGTAGGCGAGATCGCCGCTGACGCTCGGCATCGAAGCGCCCATGGCCGTCGCGCACCGAGCCTCGGCGTCGGCCGCCGTCCAGTCGCCGCGCATCTCGAAGCAGGCCTCGACGCCCGCGAAGGGATTCGTGTACGTGCAGGAGCCGACGACGTCCGTCGTTGCTTCCGAGGCGCACAGTCCGTCGGCGACGAAGTCTCCCGACATCCAAGTCGCGCAGGCGGTAGCCGCGCCGTCGCAGCCGTCGTCGCCGAGCGCCGTCGGCGACGCCTCCGTGCCCTCGGCTACCATACACCAGCCGGCCATCGCGTCGGGCAAGGTGCAGCCCGAGCCGTAAGTGAGCTCGCCGCTGACGCTCGGCATCGAAGCCCCCATCGCCGTCGCGCACCGCGCCTCGGCGCTGGCCGCCGTCCAGTCGCTGCCGCGCATCTCGAAGCAGGCTTCGACGCCCGCAAAGGGGTTCGTGTACGTGCAGGAGCCGACGAGCGCGTCGTCCAACCGGCGCACGTTCAGAAGTTCGGCAGCCCGCTCCGGGCCGTGCTGGAGCCATTTGCTAGCGTAGGGGCAGCGCAAATGGCCGCCGAATTTCTTCAGGAAGGCGTGGTCGTTCGGCAGCATTGCCGCCGCTGCGACGGAGCCCAGCACGGCGAGAAGAATCGGAGCCACGACTCCCATTGTGGGCTGACGAGACACGTCAAGCCACGTCGCTTGCAATGAAACGCTCGGGCACTGCCAGCCTCCATGCCGACTTCGCGTTTTACTTGATCCGGCAACAATCGATTTCAAGCTTTGGCGCGAGCTCGGGGAGGCATCTCGAGGTCGATCCGCGCGCGCGCCAACGCAACAGACCCGCGCGAACCAAAATTGCCGCCGCAGCGCGCTCGCAACCTCGCACGTGAAACCCGCGACCAAAAAGCCGCGCGGAAAACGCCGCGCGCTTCGCCGAGCATGGCCCCGCGCGAGACGGTGCAGCGCAAGTCCGCCGCCGAGTTCTTCACGGAGAACCAGAACATCGCGGGCTTCGACAACCCGGGCAAGAGCCTCTACACGACGATCCGCGAGCTCGTGGAGAATTCCCTCGACGCCGCCGAGTCCCTGGGCGTGCCGCCGCGCGTCGAACTGACCGTGCAGGAGCTCAGCCAGAGGGAGATCGACGGCGAGCGCGGCATGCAGGCCATGGACCGCATCGACGAGGAGCTCTTCGCCGAGGCCGCCGGCGCCAAGAAAAAGAAGGGCCGGAAGAAGAAGGACGACGACGAAGACGAGGACCCCGACCGGGCGTCGTCGAAGAAGGGCGCGATGCTCTACTACCGCGTGACCTGCCGGGACAACGGCTGCGGCATGCGCCGGGCCCAGATCCCCGACGCGCTGGGCCGCGTGCTCTCCGGGAGCAAGTACGGCGTGCGCCAGACGCGCGGCAAGTTCGGCCTCGGCGCGAAGATGGCGCTCATCTGGTCGAAGAAGTCGTCCGGCTTTCCGGTCAAGGTCCGCACGGCCGTCGCCGCGTCCGGCGCGGGCGACGACTACGACCGCGAGGCCGGCCCGCCGGGCGCGGCCCACGTCTCCCAGGTGACGCTCGACATCGACATCCAGAAGAACGAGCCCAACGTCCTCGAGGATTCCCAGGCGCCGAACCCGGAACGGTGGCGCGGCCTCGAGATGGAGGTCGTCGTCGGCGGCGCCTGGGGCGCCTACAAGTCGCGCATCGCGACCTACCTGCGCCAGCTCGCCATCATCACGCCCTACGCGGCGCTGTCGCTCCAGTTCCGCGCCGCGGACGGCCAGGGCAAGAAGGACGTCGCGTTGCGCTTCGAGCGCCGGTCGACCAAGGTGCCGCCGTGCCCGAAGAAGACGGGCTACCACCCGTCGGCCGTCAACGAGCTCCTGCTCCAGCAGCTCCTGCGGCGCACGACGCAGAAGACCCTCGTCGGGTTCCTCGCGCGCGGCGGCGAGCTCTCGAGCATCTCGGGCCCGCTCGCGAAGCGCGTCGTCGCGGAGTGCGGCGGCGGCTTCCGCGACGACGACGACCCCAGGGCTTTGGGCGACGACGCGAAGAAGGTGAGCCGCCTGGCGCGGCTGCTCCGCGAGGTCAAGCTCTTCCCGCCGCCGTCGGGCGACTGCCTGTCGCCCGTGGGCGAGTACAACCTGCGGCTCGGCATCGAGAAGGAGCTCCGGCCCGAGTACGTCGCGACGTGCACGCAGCCCTGCGGCTGCTTCAACGGCCACCCGTTCCTCGTGGAGGTCGGCGTGTCCCTGGGCGGCGAGGGCGTCGAGGACAACGCTGAACGTGCACCGCTTCGCGAACCGCATCCCGCTGCTCTTCGAGGCCGGCGCGGACGTCGTCTCGCGCGTCGCCAAGACCAAGGTCAAGTGGGGCGCCTACAAGATCGACCTCAAGAAGGAGAAGGTCGGCATCTTCGTGAGCCTCGTGTCGA